CCTTTAGAAGTGGTTTTAAGATCAGTTTTGTTCACGTGGCCTGCAACCACATGTTTCTCCATGGATCGTCGATATAGGTGCCGTCATTGGCCGTGCATCCTTGCCATCAGAAACCCCCACCGCCATCTGTTGCTGCAACTCGCATTCGCTCCATATCCCCGGCCCGTAGCTCAGGTCCGCCACTTTGATCCCCATACTTGTCGACTTGTGCCTGGGGCAGCTTCACGTGGCTGTCGGACCTTCAGTAGCTACACTCATTTATCTGTTAGCTATAGGTTTACAAGGCTGATTAATTAGTTAGAGAAGCGTGCGAACGTTATGGATTTTTTGGTCTTCAGCAGGTTGAGTTATTTGTTGGAGAAGCAACGTTCATCGAATTTGTACCTCCAATCTCCAGACGAGACCAGACTCAGTTGCAGACTTGCACCGTGCACGAGAGCGTGCGTGTGAGGCAGCAAGGATCCAACTGACTGCAACTGATTCACATTGTTGGCCTTAGCTCAACGCTACCTGCCGAGGTTCCCCGGTAATGTACATCCACGTTGAACCACTCCAGCTACTATTCATCACTGCCACCACTGACGGAAGCAGCATGAGCAGCACCACAAGGCACTACGAGCCGGTGCATAGTAGGGGAGAGATTTGAGTCCCTGACAAGTGGGCCCTATCTTCACCTCAGCCAGTTGAATCACGCCAGACTGCAAAACCGCCTACTAAAACCGCTTATAACATGATGTGGGGGTCATTTGTCTGGTTTTGTAAACATCAGGGGTGATATACCCGGTTTTGTAGTTGAGGGGGTTAAGTAGCCGATTTCTGAAACTTCGGGAGTGGGTTATGTGGACTTCTTTCCACTAGTGACACATGCAAAATCTAGGAAACGAAATACATTTTTCGACAAAGGGAATATATTAATATCGTGAAGATACCAATTACACCTGGCCTCTATACCAACAAGATGCCCAAAAGCATCAAGCATACACACAGCCAAAAAAGAAAAAGAAAAGAACATAAAAAGGGAAGAAAAAAAAAGACCCCGCCACGGTGAACAGTCACTAGCAACAGCACTCTAACCACCACGAAAGAATACACTCAGAATACAAAAGAGGTTCTCCACAAGCAACACCTCCAAGAAGGAAATAATGCACAAACGTTGTCGTTGCTCGGTCGAAGATGTTGGGCTTTCACCCCGGAGAGAGTCCGAATTCAACCAAAAACAATGTCTTCAACAAGGTCATTGCCAGCTACAACCAATAAAGACCAGACCTTGGGTTTTCACCCTGAAAATCGAGACTTGGTACTCCAAGAGCACCACCAAAAATGCAATCCTCAAGAGCTGCCGCCACCGCTTGCCGAGGCCGTTGAAACAAGTCACCATATACTTGGCACACAAACTTCATTGCATCAAATATACCCTTCCACCGAAACTTCAGGAGCTCCATTCACAACCGCCATGACTTTCCCCGCCTCTATCAATACCATGGAAATCTTGATTTAGACATGTCCCGTGACACTGATAAGAGAGTGAAGCTTCGTGCCGCGCCCTCCTAAGGCCGTATTTGGCTGATAATAAGAGCGCGTGCGATCGCAGCTTTTCCGATCTAGATATCCAGGGGCGATATAATCCAATCCATATAGATCTCTGATAGGGAAGACCGGAACTCGTCAGCTATCAGATCCAAGAGGTCAACATGCGGCCCAAAGATGAGTCGGTGGAAGAAGAATGCTAGGGCCAAGATCCGACATAACCGAATCGGGGCAAGCCACTGCCAAGGACTGGAGCTCCACCACGACCTAGCTCACCGCCGGACGGAGCCTCGCCTGAGACGCATGCGCCGACGAGAGAAGGCCGTGCCACCGGCCAGCAGGAAACGAAATACGTGTGTATCTATACGACAGAGACCTATATGTGAGTCACAGCATGACAACAATGATGAAATATTTGACAAACTTGTAAAGAAGACGTTCAAGCTGATGGACGAGTGCGTGAGACGCTCCAGGTGACTACTTGAATGACTTGGAAAACAATTTGATTAGGATGGCACGGCGAAAATGTGTATGTATTGTATTGTGATGCAATTCATTTGTTTATTTTTTTCTCGAATACGCAAAGCTTGCGTATCATTGTATTGATAGAAGGAGTAAGAATGATTACAGGAGTTGGTACCACACATGACACGGATGCAAGGGGCGTGAACATGGTACCCGAAGCGAAGAGATGAAAGATGCACGACCCAAACAAATAAGAACACAGCTAAACTCTTCGACCAGATAAGCAAACCAATCTACAACTAGACGACCAAAACTCCAAAGCCCGCACCGAGGACGCCGCGAGCAACCAAGACAATGCCTTCAAGAAGGAGAACGACACCGAGACGCCGTCGTCGTCCGATCCGGAAGCCCGGACCTAGGGTTTCCCCTGATGCTCGAAGAGGGGCACGGAACGGCCATGACAACGCCTCCAGGAAGGTGACGGCACCCACAGGTGTCGCCGCTGCCAGCAAAAGATGCAGGGCTTTCGCCCTGGCCAATTCCAAGCAATCCCAAGCCGTCGGAACACGAGTCGAAGAGGAGGTCATCGGGTGTAGGCTGGTGCTGCGACTGCAGGAAGGGGAGCCACGCGCGATGCCAAAGGAGGCATCGTGCATCGCCGGGCGCGCGAACTCCGGAGGACGAGGATGCGTGGCTGCGCGGAATGAAGTGGGGTTGGGATGGTGACCATAGCCCTAGATAAGCCTTTGTGCTTCCCCATGCTAGGAAAGAAAGAAATACGCATGATAACCAGTGTGCAAAGTTTGGATATGTTTCTGTTCCTGCTTCATGGTGACAATACTCGCATGGATCACATCATTTGCTGCTGTCTGCAATATATGTAAAACGTTGTTGAAGCACAGGACATGACATATAAGACAGCAAGCCTTTTACAAGATTGAGTTACAAAATACGCACCGTATATCAGTAGAGATGAAAGACGAGCACTCGAGAGATAAATAGCCTGAATTATACTATGTACTCCCTCCGTCTGAAAATACTTGTCATCAAAATGGACAAAAAGGGATGTATGTAGAACTAAAATACATCTAGATACGTCGCCTTTTATTCATTTTGATGACAAATATTTCCGGACGGAGGGAGTACAAGCTAGAAACGGAAAATACAACTTGAACAGTTCGTACTTGTCGATTCATTAACACTGTCTTCTTGATCACTCATTCCGATAATCATTATGCAAAGAAAGGATGATGTCGGCGTCAGGATGATGGCGCTCAAATGCTACCTTCACCAGCTGCCTCACAGAATCTCTGCCTTGTCTAAATTCATGTGAAGAGAAGTAATTATCCCAGTCGTCATCGTCCCAGCCCTGGGAGCCTTCCACCTCCCAGCGGTCATCCAAGTAGACTCGTAACCAGATTTTGTTAAGGGTGCCAGCAGGCAAGTGCTCGATGCCAACTGGTAGGAGTTGGCCGCTCATGTGGTAACGGAGCTGTATGGAAAGCTCCTCTAGCATGGGCATAGCCCCCGCTTCAAAGGTCAGTGACGCCTTTTTACAGTGGAACCTCAGGTGCTTGAGTGCTTTGAATGCCCCACCCCCAGGGATGACTACACTTTCTTCCTTTTCTCCCTGAAACATACTTACAATCAACCAGAAGCAGGAGAGTGAAGGCAGCCCTGCAACAATATTGACACCATCAGCCACCTCCCTCACCCAAATCATTAACTTGGTGAGGCCATCGAGTTGACCAATCCACTTGGGGCACCTCTGAAACTCACAGCACCCTAGATCGAGCTCTCGAATATGACAACCTCGAGGGAATAGTGTCCTGCCCCAGCATGATACATCATCCAGTCCGATAGGCCATCCTTTTCCAAAAGTAAGGATCCTGAGGTTGGCAGAAAGCATGGAAAGGGAAGAGTGCAAAGCATCTGTATGAACATTCTCGTTCAAACAGATATGAAGCTTTCTCAAGTTTGTCAGCTTGCCGAGGCCCATGATACTCTCTACCGAGCTTTTATTAGATATTACTACACCTACTAGAGTGTGCAGTGATTTCAACCTCTCAATCCCGTCAGGCAACACTATACCGCCTGCCTTATTTCTCCTCGAGCTGAGATGTGATAACAAGGCCAAACTAACAATGTCTGATGGAAAATTTTCCAGGAAACCAGCTAGATCTATTGTCTCCAACTGCTGTAAATCCCCAATTTGATTAGGTAGCTTCAGATGATAATTACTTCCATCAAGATTGGCAAACTTTAAATACCTCAGGAGAAACAAGCTACTGATACCGGTGAGGTCTATGTCCCCACCAAGGCCTTGATCTTCAAGGCGTAGAACTCGGATATACTTGAAGTACATAAAATGAGGCACAAGTGAGCCTCGGCAAAGTAAGACTGACCGAACATGTGATAGTGACGCTTTGTTGATTATTTCCAAAATTCGTGCATCATCTTTATCAATGTACTGGACCGAGACTCGATGGATCTCCCCTGATGTATCTTTCGAACCATCAATTACATGAACAAAATTCTCTTTACTTGACTTGGATCTCAGAAGATCAAGAATTATATCATGTACTCTGCAAGACAACACTTCATTGTTGTAGTCATCTATCCTCCCAGGTTGGATCATACACATGCTGATGAGCTCCTTGAAGTACTTCTCTGCAACATCCTGTGCATCCAGCCCACTGTTTCTACTCACGTGCACGAAACCTTCGGCTACCCATTGCTTCAGCAAATCATTTTTATCTATCTCACGATCCTCTGGATACATACAAACATAAAGCAGACATGTCTTGAGATGATCAGGAAGATGTATGTAGCTAAGATCCAATATTCGATTCATCTTTTCAAGATCATCTTCTTCAGTCACAGAACCCAAAGATTTCCATATATACTCCCAGGTTGACTCTTGCTCGCCAGCTAGAAGGCTTGCTATACTATTAATAGCAAGTGGCATACCATCACATTTTTTTAGAATATATTTTGAAATCTCTTCTTTTCTGGGTGTATCAGGACAATCTTTTTCAGGACCAAATATTCTTCTGAAAAATAGTCTTCTTGAGTGTTCTTCACTGAGTGATTTCATCCTATAAACATATTTGCCTTCATGTTCGCAACACGCACGGGCAACAACTTCAATCCTTGTTGTTGTTATCACTCGACTGCCATGTTTGTTTCCTGGAAAAGCAGATTGAATAAAACCCCATGCTTCGGAATCCCATATATCATCAATTACTATGAAGTATCTGCAAAAACGCCACATGGATAAGAAACGAGGTAGTGGAATCTTAGTAAAGTTAGTACAAGGTCAGTTATAATTTTATATCTTTATGTAGAGCATATCCGTACATGTGGATGTATTTCAATACCTACGAAAAAATATGTCTAATCTAAACTTACATAGTGGAGAACTGTCATATCCATAACATGTGGACGCTCACAAACTATTTGGACCCTCCATTTCTGTTGATCCAAGGGTTTATGTTTACCACCTATGACTCTTAATTAACTAATCACTTTCATAGTTAGATATGTTACCCCATAAAAGGAAACGATGCATCCCGTTGATAGAAAAAGCTATTGGTGCATATTTCTACCGTGTATGTGAGAAGTGATTGAATTCATCGTGTGCATGCAAGCATATGTGTCTGTGGAAGTGATTGACACAGTAATATGCATGGTGACACTATTTTAGGTTAATAAGTATGGAACTTTGTGATCCAAAAAAGGCTAGTGTTGGTATGATTTTCAGTTGATTTCTACACTTGCGCCAAACTTAAAGATCAAATGTTCTTATCCTTTGCCTACATATTCTCATGTGATGAGACAAATGAACTTGACATAATGCAGGTATCAAATCAATAGAATATCGAATTTTTTTATATGATACGCAAATCATTTATGTGTAGACGTAATTAGTTCTCACATATGCGTCATCTCAGCTACCTCCTGCCACAGCGTTCGACCAACCAATCTTCTGTTCTGCCACGGCCAAGAGACATGACTACTTGCCACGCCCAAAGAAAGTGATGATGGCCAGCTAGAAATCTTTGGAGTGTGAAATCCTATCGACAGCAGGGTACAAAAACCAGGATTTTGAGGCATGAGCTCTGGGGAGGATGAGAATCTTGGGAGCTGTTTACGGTGGAGTGGTGACTGGTTGCAGCCGGTTAATAATCCATGTACTCTTTAAGTCCAATGAGGTAAATTGGAGCATCCTAAAAGAGATCTAAAAAGTATCCATCCACATTGCTCTGCGATGTTGCAACCCCATCCCCACATTTTGAGTACTATGTTATAGTTATATCTGATGCTACTTATATTTATAAAAATGTGACACAATTGCATTATTGCTCATGTCTTTGCTATAGCCAATAGTCAGGACGTGTATTGTGGAATTGTCTTAACAACCGGAGCACTAATAGACTCTTACGCCCCAGCGATATTCGACCTCCGCAATGCCGGCCTTATCGCCAGCTCCTTGCGGCTCACAAGCTTGTTGCCCCATTTCATTGGCTATATAGTCATGTCCTTGCCATCCTTTGGCGTGCGGCATGGCAAAGAAAATACATCGTCCACTCTCATCTAGCTCCCCTCGCCATTTAATTCTCAAAACAGGCTTTCGCCCCGCTTTATAAATAAAGCAAACACCGAACCAAGTACACGGTCGAACGATACAAGATAGCCGGAGCACGCTACCCTACCGAAAGAGAGCAATGGGAAATCCGAGTACAACGCCACACACTGCCCTAAATACCTAAGCTCCACGACAGCACCCCCAAGAGGGAATACGGCGCAAAGCGTCGCCGCTGCCGAGTCCAGAAGGGACAAGGGTCTTCACCCGGAACCCTGGCACGAAGAGGAGCACCACGACGACGTCTTCAAAAAGATAACGACGCCCGCAAGCGTCGCCGGCATCGGCGACGAAGCACAGAGCTTTCGCTCGGCAGCTCCCCCGTGCCACCACGAGGTCATCATGACAGATGTGTTGATTTTAGCTCCCCGGGTCTAGATCGAGGCGACGCTACTGCTAAGGACAGGCAGACCACCTGGGCCACCCACCGCTACCCTCCCGCTGCCCACACAGCCAAGAGGGGAGACACCACCACCGACATGGTGCCCGCCGAAGAGCCAACCATGCGGACCACCATCCAAAGCCGCCGCTCCAGCATCCACGTCCAGGCCACCACTATCCGTCCATATCACGGAGCACCAACCTCGATAGGAGGAAAGAAAGGTGTCTCCTTTCCTTCCTAGCCCGGCATCAGTCACGGGATCTGGGTCGATGCCACCACTGCAGAGGCGTCCACACCTGCATCCCCAGCCAGTCCAGGTGGACCGGGAGGGACACAACTCCGTGACTCTTGACGTCCACCGTGGCTCACGCGACACCTCAACCGTGATCACCAGTACCGCCCCGCAGGACAGGATAACGTAGACCAGACCACCGCCACCACCGGCCGCCGCACCCACGAGGAGCGCGGGCACCACCCGGGCCAAGCCTGATCTCACCTACCCGGTGTATACGCACCGACCCGCCCTGGATCCAAACCTAGCCCACCTGAGCGCGGGCCCTAGGACAGAGCCACCGCCGACGCGCGTGCGGCAAGCTCGGCACCGCGGCCGACACCCGCCAAACCCCGCGCGCGCCTGCTCGGTCCCAGGAGCGGGGAGATCACCACCGCCACCATGCGCCGCCAACCAGAGCCCATCCGCCAGATCTGCGATGACATGAGCACGGCCGGCCCGCACCACCGCCTGCAAGCTCCTGCCCCACCGACCACCACCACCGCGAGAACCACCGCCTGAATTGCATGGACCACAGTTTCCACGGATGGCCGTCGCCGTTGAAGAGGCCGGCATTGCGGTGCTTCCAGAGCCACCAGGCCGAGAGGATGGCCAAGGAGGAAATGCTGCGACAAAGGCTGTCAGGCGCACTGTTGATGGTCGAGGATAGCCAGATGATGAACTCGTCATCGGCATCGGGCAAGCTGGGAGTGGAATGGCACAACGATAGAACTTCGTGCTAGACATGGCGGGAGAAGGAGCAGCCGACTAGGAGGCGTTGCATCGTCTCGGGCTCTTGGTCGCATAGTGGACATGTTAGATCGTTTGGAAAGTTGTGGCAGGCGAGACGATCGGCGGTCCAACATCTCCCAAGTAGGACGAGCGAGATGAAGAACTTTATGCGAAGAGGTGCCCATGATGGCTAGGTGATGCGCCAATGCGGATCCGTCGTTGCCCCAATGAAGAGATCCTTGTAGCAGGATTTCGCGGTGTAGGCGCCGAACTCCATCCAGCGCCAAGATAGCTGCAGATAGGGTAACCTGCCTGATGCGACGCCATAAGGAAACATATTGAACAGCTGCAGCAGCTCCCAAGGCCCCACCGCTGCCGGCGATGACCGGGCTTCACCCGCTAGCGCCCTCAGGCGACGGTGAGGGAGGAGGGGAGGCTCTTATACACCATGGGTGCAAAGTAAGGTACTGTACACCTTGATGCTCTTATAATTAGTTAAATTTGAATGTACGATCGGTACACACGAACACATAAGACCTTATTGACTTGCATTATACAAACTGCATACGAGTCCCGAAATATAGGTAGAATATCATAAAAATTGTGAAAATTGTGATTGAAATTTGCGTCCTTACTATATTTTACATTTACATAATTTTATTATGCTTTGGCAACAAATTTACATTCGGTACACAAATATTTACGATGTCCCCAACTTATGTCACAATATCAAACTGATCTGAAATTTTGTCCATAAGTTGTAAAACAGGGTGGAAAGAGAATAAACTATTGTGCAACCTTGAAAGTCCTATATATATTCTACACACAATGGTAGAACAAGTTAGTCTACATGCATATAATAATAGGGCTTGTTAACACAAAGTATATGATTTATACTCTGTTTTTAAGATTCATTTCACTTGGTTAAAAGATCAACTTCCAATTTATTCCTTTGATTTTGTAGAAACACCGAGCTGAACAATAAGTTAGTGTAGGGTTGTTTTTTCTAGTTTAACGGGGTATGGATTAGTGGATGCCACTTCCGTATTTGCATGCAAATTATGAGAAAAATAGATGGGTATGCTGAGTAATCAAGAAAATACTGAATCTGAATTCTTTTATTTAAAGTTTTCTTATCTCATCACCATGGGTTGGGGATGTGTACCTCTCCTTCTTGAGCAATTTTCTGAGTTTGTTGATGAGCTGATGCACGTCCCAGTCGAAGTTTGCTAAATTCTGTCCAAATTCGAACAGAATGTTATTCAAAACTTTCTTCACATCAGGATTCTGACCCACCGGAATAAAAGCTCTGTGATGGTAATCTTTTTTAAGCTTGTCATACACTGCCTTGGCAAGTGTGGTCTTCCCCAATCCTCCCATTCCGACGATAGAGACTGTCTTGAGCGTTGATGCATCACCATCCTCCTCAAATAGCCTTATTAACTCATCTCTTCGCGCTTTGATGCCAATGAGCCGTTCTTTATTTACGTATATAGCTGAAATCCGAAGGTCAGTGTCAAGTTTTGCAGTTACATTAGCTACAACATTGTTGACATTGAAGTCATAATTCTCTTGCATGTCGGCCACAGCCTGAACTTTGTTCTTGATGTGTCTGATTACATCACCAATCTGATGGTGAGTCGTCATGCCATTCTCCCAAAGTTTTAGCCCCTTATGTGTGAGCTCCCTGAAGCCACCCCTATTAGAGTTAGGCTCGACATGCACCAGGAATGTGTCAACCATATCCTCTATGTGATATGAAAGCTTCCTGACTTGGTCAGTCCAAATCTTGACCCCATCAAACTTTCCCAGGTTGCGGAGGGTTTGGTGCATCTTCATCAACTTTTCTGAAAAAGACTTGATATCTGTCTTGATACTGTCCTCAAGATTGTAGTCCTCCTCGAGGAGCTTGCCCAGCTTGTCGAGTAGGCTACCCAAAGCCCCCGTTGGGAGATCCACGGCTCGGTCATTTTCTTTTTCAAGGTATCTCATGTTGGTAGGATAATGGCGTGAAAAGCTCTGTAGTGGGTGCAGATTAAACTGCTCTGTTTGCTCCGTACATTGTCCTCGCACGCTTGAATTGGCATCCTTGCATGCAGAATAATGATGTGCTTAGATTAAACAAATTTATTTAAGCAATAGTACTAGTTGAATTATCTGACTAAGCTTACCATGAAAGTTGCCTCTGCATTTTTGCTGCTACCAAGTTTGCTATTTTCGGAAGCAGACCCAACAATCTTTCTCCTTTTTGCCTGTGAACATAGAAATGAATTCGTCAAGAAACAATCCAGGGGAAAGATACATAAGAGACAAGACACATACAAATGCATTAATCCAGGTCACAACTGATCACCTCGGGGACTTCCTCAGCTGGCATGTTGGTGTCTTCTCTACTCTTGCAGTTTTCTTGGGGCTTCGTAGACTCATATACAACCATCAAATTCACCTTATCAACAACTTTACTGGCCTCTTCGAACATGCATCCTGCGATATCCTCGTCTCTTAGACCCTCGCTCACTTTCATGCTCTGCACGATGAACTTGTTGGCTTGGTCGTGCTCATGAACATCTCCTGGTTTGACTATAATCTTCATACCATACTTGGATTTTGGTTGCACAATGCCTTTGTATGGTTGTGCGCTGTACAATTGTCCGCTTGGCAATTGGATGTTGAAAGCAATACAATTACGAGTACCATTAGTTAGCACAACTAAGCCTGATATCTCCTTCTTAAGCTCAGAAGGAAGACGTAGTTCAAGCGGCTTAATCCCAAGCATGTCATCTTCATCATAACAGCGGATTATCTGCAAGGAGAGAGCTACATGTGGTTAGATGATGATGTATGCTCCCTCCAATTTATAACTTGCATTTCTACGAAGTAAAAAAGTTCTACATGTATTTAAACTAAACTTCTGCGTTTATACTATTCAGATAAAAACTCCTATTTTGGCTACATCGGCCAAAAACATCTGCCACATGAATACTGATATTTTTGGATAGAGAATAAAACAATGCTCTGGGTTGGTTTTGCTATCATTTCCCTTGTAGTCAGACCATTTGAATATTGATATTTTTGGATAGAGAATAAAACAACGCTCTGGGCTGGTTTTGGCTATCATTTCCCTTGCAGTCAGACCATTTGGCCCATCTTTTGCGGAGAACAGCCTAGAGCTGGATCTCGGCCAAACACACCCTGAGTCTCCCAAAAATTCGGTTTTTCTACTGTTAGCCCAACTAATTAATAAGCCAACAAGTAACTTAGGCTAAATAGGTTAGTTTTCAAACACAAATGTGAAATTATGCTAACCTAACAAGTATTTGAATCTAGAACCAAATTAACAGAGTGAAATGCGCCACTAGCCCATGAACTCAAACTAATTGCACACTTTAGGCCAACAACTCGAGAAGTGATCGGATTTAGTCCGCAAACTCGTTGATTTGATCAAATAAAGCCAAAACTGGCCCGACAGGGAGAAAACTGGCCATGTGGTGCCATGTCATCACTCCTTTGACTGCTCATGAATTCACTATTCTGTACAGGGGTCTATCTGCAAATTAGCTGTTTTTTTCTCGTAAACCATACTAACGTGTTTGGGGTGCAAAAAAGTATTAGAAAATTGTGCTTGCCAGGACTTGAACCTCGCCCATTAGGAATACGCAATGTCCCAATGACCACTGCAACAACACCAGGTTTGCACACTGATATGCAGCCCAGTATATTTTTCAATCAGGCGACCTCTTTACTTATGTTTCGCTTGACTGCTGCCTTATGAATGCTATTGCCATTGAAGTCATGTTCTATATATTGTTTGAAGTGTGAGTTATATATTGAATGTGACGTTTTATATTGTCGACAAGATGTATATATATTACTTTCATATATTCTGTCTATTGGAACATAAATCACTTCATAGTGTATATACATGTATAGCAAAAGGCTGCCTATTGGAACATAAATCGCTTCATGGTGTATTGGTCTGGAAGCCAATTTCTAACAGAACAGATGTTTAAATATTTATTTTTTTCTCCTAATTCTACGTAAATATATATGTATATATAAATACCGAGCAACATATTAGTGTGCAAACGTGGTGTTGTCGCTGAGCCATTGTCTACAGTGAATGCCCAAGGTTCAAGTCCTGGGAAACACAATTTTTTTATACTTTTTTACTCCAAACGATGTTGGCATGGTTTATGATGAAAAAAAAACCAGTCACTTTGCAAATAGACCCCTATAAAAATAGTGAATTCATGAGCAGTCAAAGGGTCTATGACATAGCATCCACGTAGCCGGGTTTTTCCCGATCGGGCCGGTTTTGGCCTTATTTGATCAAATCAACGAGTTTGCGGACTAAAATCCGAACACTTTTTGAGGTGTGCAATCAATTTGAGTTCGTGGACTACTGACGCATTTCACTCAAATTAACACAACCTTATAATTGAATAATTAACTGTTTCACACTTTATTAGCTCTCTGATCTCAACAGTACAGTATGTTAAACTAGCTAGCTTATTACCTGGCCGGTGTGCATATCCGTACTTTCAGATTTACTTAGAAAGCTAATTATCTCCAATATGGAAGGTCTAGCTTCGGGTACTTGTTGCCGGCAGCGTATTGCTATGTCAATGCATCTAGTTACTTGCTGGTATTGTAGTAACGTCGGTGGCTTATTCCACCTGTGTCTCCACCTTCGAAGTACCTATATTTAAGAAGTGTTAATTATTTCTGATAATCGCAGAATATTACAGTGCAAAATATGCCCATGTGTCATGGTGCATGTATCCAGCTGACAATTTGTTAGTTCAAACCCAGACGTCAGCCTTGCAGTGCGTGTATCAGAGGAAGTGCATCACTTCACCCCAAAAGACCATAAAAAACATCCACACATGCATGATATGTATACAGAAACATGTTGGATATGCCATTCAGGAGGATAGTATGCATATTAGGCCTTGTACAATGCAAGGTGCTTAGGGGAGGTGCTTAGAAAAATAAACCCGGCTTTTTTAAACATCGGTGCTTATTTGTACAGGATAGACGCTTAACTAAGCGTCTCTCCCATTGTACAAGGCCTTAAAGTGCGCATCCACGAGGATAGTATGCATTAAAATCTGCATGCAAAACATGATAATTGGTCGAAAAAGTTAGAGAAATCACCCTTACATTGTTTTTATCAGGAACGTCCATACACCCCGTTACTAATTCAATGATTATGGCACCCATACTATAAATGTCAGACTTGAATGAAGTTTTACCAGCGTTTTCATATTCCGGCGCGAGATATCCTCTGCAAGAAAATATGACACATTAAAATGTAGGGCTATATGATAGGGAAATATCAATTACCTTCTAGTTGGTCTGATGCATAGCTTACCGTGTTCCAAAACGTAGACCCATAGTATGCGTGTTTTTATTTGATCTCGACAACCCAAAATCTGTAATTTTTGGAACAATATACGTGCCATCTAATAATATATTCGCCGGTTTAAGGTCCATATGAACAATTTCTTTTTCCTCGTGAAGATAGCACAGACCCTTGCAAATTCCAATGATTATTTCATAACGTGTTTCCCATTCAAGTCCCCTTAATTCATCTATGGAAGGATAAATACATAAAAAATGTTAAGGAGCTATGTTAAACTACATACTGAGAATTGATAGAGTATTTTAAATCCCAGTCTGTCCAAATGAAAATGGAACACTAGTCAAGGCAATAAAGTAAGGAAGTAAAGAGAAGAGCTGCATTAAATGCAATAAGATGTTACCAGTAATATGCTTATCAAGACTTCCATTGCTGATGTACTCGAAACAAAGCAATCTTTCTCTTACATTGGCCAAGTTAATTTCTTCTGACCCAGCCCCTTCTATCGATGTCTGATAGGTATTAGAACAGAAGCCAAGAAACCGCACTACATTTTGATGATTAATCTTCCTCAAGCTATTAAACTCACGGCGAAAAGACACATCATCAAGTGTGTGTTGGTTCACATACATCCTCTTCACAGCAACAACAATCCCATTTCTGAGTACACCCTGTTGGTCAGTGTTTAAAGAGGCTCAGCCCTATAATACCAAAACAGAGCTGCCAGGTTCTGCTTCTACTGCTGGAACTTTTGTTTTTCAAGAGAAACAGTACGAGAGTTTCTTACTGTAATCTTATTAATAAACTAACAATAATAATAATACCAAAGTAGACAAAACAAAACAAGATGAATCTGACTCTGTGGTACTACTTATTAATCGAACTAGCGATATTTTACTGGAGCTCGAGGTCTAGCTTCATGAATTTTCTAAATAGCAAAGCGTACCTTGTAAACTGCTCCAAATCCACCCTGACCAATTTTTCTCTCTGGGGAGAAATTATTGGTTATGCGTTGTAACAGTGCTAATGGCAGATCATTGGGCTCTTCGATTCCATTAAGTATACGCTCCAGCACACTTTCGTCCTCCATTCGGAACTGGAGCATATGGTAGAATTTAGAGTTTGCTTGAGACAGGTAGACAGGCTTGCAGATTAAAGAGGATGCATGCAAAGATGGTTCTTGAGATATACGCGACTCTGAGAGGCGAGAAGAAGAAGGAATATTCAAGCAGCATAATCAAGACAGCAAATTAATTCGATGCCTGGACAGATCTGAAAGACACCTGTGACCAAATCGATTCTAATAACGCTCAGGCTGATTTAAGATTTAATCCTGGACAGATCTGAAAGATGCCTGGACAGATCCAAGATTTAATCCTACAAGAAGGGAATAAGAGGAACAGAGAGCCATACCATACCTTGCATAAGCACTAGGCACCGTCCAGGCTGATTGCTGAAGCCTAAGGATGGAGGCCCAGAGAGAGGAGAGAGAAGGAGGCTTTGCTCGGAGAAAGGGGAGAGGGGATGGTGGTCGCCGTGTTGACCGGACACAAGGGGGGAAACACAGCTTATTGCGCGGATCTAAAGTAGACGGATGCCTCTTTTCTTGTCAGCTTTTTTTTATTTCAATATATTTTTGTTGATAGCTTACCAATCATCGGAGAGGAAAGGGTCCTCGCTGGCTCCAGTCCAGCGCTCCAGTCTCATAAAAAAATTCTATAAGATCAGGTCTCACGGATTAGCAGGTGAGACCCATTTTGATAGATGACATGTGGCATTCACAAATCACAAAACATTTAACTCACACCCCACTTGAAATCAGGGGGGAAAGATTAGATACTTTGTGATTTGTGAATGCCACGTGTCATCCATCAGGGACGGGTCTCCTGCTTTATATGAGACCTGGTCTCATATAATCCCCCCCTCTCGGCCTCCCCCTCCCGTCCCGTTCTTGTCGGGTCGCTTCGCCGCCTTCGTATCGACAGGCCCTCTGTGCCGGCGAGCTCTCGTCTTTCGAGCTCACCCCAGAGACCGC